ATCAAGAGCTTTCATTTGAGTACCCACATGCATTTTCATATATTTTTCATACATACATATATGTGATATATATAAATATATGAAAAATTGATGTGGGTACTCAAATGAAAGGTCTCGATGAGTGTAACATCGGAATGAGCTTATATCTTTAAAAAAGTCAATAGTTCGCAAGATACAAGGTCGTTTCTTAATTATGTTAAATTGCACTGTACCTTCTTAACTATTGACGTTTTTAAAAATATAAGCTCATTCTGATGTTACACTCATCAAGAGCTTTCATTTGAGTACCCACATGCATTTTGATATATTTTTCATATATACATATATATAAATACATAAAATATATAAAAAATTGATGTGGGTACTCAAATGAAAGGTCTTGATGAGTGAAATGTCGGGGTGAGCTTATATCTTTAAAAATGTCAATAGTTCACAAGATACAAGGTCATTCCTTAATTATGTATTTAGAGATAGAGCATTATCGAATGCAGCCTAAATATTTATCATCATAAATTGACTATCGGTGAGAATGATAAGAAACTTTAAAGAGGCACAAATTCAAGTCAAGGCTTGCTTTGCAATGACACTAAATTTCACTATAGATAAATTAACGAATCAAAACTAATCAAAAGACGAATCATCTCTAATTTAAAAAATATTTATATAATATTTAGTTAAATAATTAAATATTTGGTTTAATTTAATAGATTACATACTTATAATTAAATATACTGATATGGACTTCAATAAAGATTTATTAAAACTAAATGTATTGTAAATTGTTAAATTGAAAATTGAAAGGTTGAATGAAAATGGAAAAACTATTAAATTAAATATTTTATAAAATAATTACTGTATTTTAACTTCGTATAAAAATATCAACATTCATCATATCTTTGATTATTAAATTTCTCAACATTGTGAGAATCCTTTCCTGAGGATTTCTTACAACAATAATAATTATAATAATAATGATGCAGGTACATTATCATTAATAATACAGTAAATATAAAAATCTTATTTTTGATATAATGGTATCATATAAATAAATCAATAATATACTTATTAATGGTATAAAAAAAACATTACACGCAAGCTTATAAATTAATATGGACATACACTAATCAGAAAGATTTAATAAGTATCAAATATTTTATAAATAATAGGCACTAATAAATACGAAGTAAAATTTAAATTATGATTAATAATATGACATTAATTATAATTAAGGTATTTTTTGTTATGGTTGTATAAAGAGGCTTTTAGCGCCAACTCAAAGATTAATATTAACTTAGATGAATGAAGAGGATAAAAAATATTTCATAAATAACAAATATTAGTTAAAATGAAATAAAATGAAACTTAATGGCAGTTACAAAACTTACGTAATACTAATTAATTTCGATTTCGGTTTCGGTTCAGGTCTTCTAAGTTTAGGCGATCATTGTTTAATACTCGTGCCGCCAAAACATTCTGTAAAAATAAAAATATAATTTATTAGTTAAATTTTTAAGTAAACTTTTAGATTTTGTGTAATTAAATTAAAAAAAAAAAAATAAAATAAAATAAAAATAAAAAAATTAATAGAAAAAAATAATAATAATAATAATATACTCACAGCAAGATTTTGAGTCTCTGGTATATCACGATGCGGTCCAGCCGTCGGTGGTGGAAGTGCAGGTGCTAGCTCAGTAGTTCCAATATCTAGAGTTGGGTCTTGTCTTAAAACTTCCGCTCGTGCAGTTTCTTCAACTTTTCTCACTGTCTCAGCATTCAGACGTATGTTATCACTCCACAGTGGACATCTGGAAATTGATTAATCAAATAAATAAATCAGTTAATAAATAAATAAATACCTTAGCGAGTATTAAAAAATTACAGTGTGTTAATTAATTAAACATGAAGAATTAAAAATGTTAAATGTTTAAAATTTTAATTGAAATAATCTATATAATTAAGAGAATAAACAAAATTTTATGTCCAGGATAGTCATATGATAGTCATTCGAAAATGCTCTATCTCTAGATACATTATTAAGAAATGACCTTGTATCTTGTGAACTATTGACATTTTTAAAGATATAAGCTCACTCCGATGTTAGGCGACTGCTTGGCCGAGCGGTTTAAGTCTTAAACTGCAGCACAGCAGTCGCTCAGGCGTGGGTTCGAGCCCTGGCAATTGCAATTTTTCTTCTGCGATTTCCGGGGCTTGCTCCCTTGCCGACTGTACCTTGACCAGGTTTCTGTGGTTCTTCCTCGGTCATTGTGCCCCTAAAATAAGCGGGGCACAGGCAAATGCGGGTACAGACTGTAAGCCGGCCACAGCCGCAAAAACGGAGGGTCCTGTTACAGGACTATATAGGAGGAATAGCTACAGAAGGAAATAGCTACAGAAGGAAATAGCTACAGGAGGAAACAGCTACAGGAGGAAACAGCTACAGGAGGAAATAGCTACAGGAGTAGCTTGGAGGGGGCGTGGTACTGCGAAGTAATGCTAACGCGGTCCCGCAGTATCAGGTACAAGAGAGGGGAGGGTTTTAGTGAGTAAGAATCTCACACTACCGGCAACCAATATCTCCAACATCTAGCCGGTGTCTTATGAAGATTTCCCTCCTCTCGCCAAAAAAAAAAAAAAAAAAAGTAAAAAAAAAAAAAAAAAGCTCACTCCGATGTTACACTCATCGAGACCTTTGATTTGAGTATTCACATCAATTTTTCATACGTTTGTATATATTATATATATGTATATATGAAAAATATATAAAAATGCTTGTGGGTACTCAAATGAAAGCTCTTTATGAGTGTAACATCGGGATGAGCTTATATATTTGAAAACGTCAATATTTAAGAAATTACAGTGCAATTTAACATAAGAAACGACCTTGTATTTTGAGAACTATTGACATTTTTAAAGATATAAGCTCACCTCGACATTACACTCATCAAGAGCTTTCATTTGAGTACTCACTTGCATTTTTGATATATTTTTCATATATACATACATATTTATATATATATATATATATATATTACTAGCGAAATAAAAAGTGTCAGTGTACGGTATAAAGCTTTAAGCTTCGCCCATAAATCCCATTATCCGATGCAACTCGTGACCCACATGTGAGCCGCGATTATTCAGCCAATTAATTGTCTCGACGTGACACTCTAGAGTTATTCTTCCGCCAGCTTCACAATTAAGACGTTCTGCAGTCTCCAGCTTATATATATCATGTACACATACAATACATAATATAAAGTGAGCAAGAGTACATAGACATTAATAATTGTACATTGCACACCTTAGTGAAGATGAGAAAAACGAGGATAAACAGAGTTATGTATGCAGTGTTATTACCATCTACTGTGACGGAGCATACTAAATTCTAACGACGTTCTTCAGGATTTATTTTACGTCGTTGATAATAGATTGGTGCAATCCACTACGCAGATGTCGTGGTATTACTTGGTCAACTATGACGATGTTTAATTAATTATTAAACATACAGTTTGAAAGTTTAACTAGAGCTAGACTACTCGCTACCTCAGCTACTGGTGGATGTATAAAAATAAAAACTGAAATAAATAAATAAATGAATAAAAAAAATGACAATATTTACATACAACGGACATTAACATCAGTATAGTAAAACATAAAGCTCACCTGGTTAAATCATTCGTCGTGGCAGTAAAGTGGTAAAAAAAAAATCACCGACGGGTTTGGATATTTACTTGGTACTAGTAAATAAAATCACACAACAAATAAATTTAAATGCCCAGGTTGGCAAATATTTATCCGGGACGTCGGACCCGCTAGACTCAATCAATCGTAGTGGACATTTCATGTTGTCATCACCAACACAATCACACAAACATACACACACCTTATTGATAACCTATGTACATACTCGATTGGTCACGTCCCCACGTTTTTGGGACGCACACTGCACGCTCTGGGTTTGTAAACAATAAGAGCTCTATCGGTGATTATTGCCCACGTAACGTTTACGTTTATAATTCGGTGGTGATGTGCTGCTGCAATTGAAGATCCAACTACGTCTGGGTCGAGCACCTAGAGGCTAGCTCTACTCGTCATCATCGGGGACTTTACGCAGGCGCTGTCCTACTAACCCTCCACCCTCAGCTTTTTACCACCACCTGCAGCTTTTAAATTGTTCAACCCTCTTTTGGTAATAGCAATGACTTTGATTTTCCTTCTACTCATTCATCTAGCTATTTTATATATTATTCTTTCAGCTCCGGGTATTATTCACTAGGTGTCTGTTTTGTTACCTGTAACAATAATATTTGTCAGCTTCACATTAACAGGACTATTGTTGTACTAAAAAATAATAATTATCTGTCCATACGTACATACATACATAATAATAATCTACGGAGGATGAAAGCTTGATGTTGATATTTGTTTGGGAATCAATGAGAGAGCCGGAAGGACTCGTGGTCCACGAGGAATAGAGTCAAGTGTGTAAGGACGAGAGGACGTTGCCACAAAAAGGGGAGATAAAAAATTTCTTCTGAAGAAATAACCTCGCATGCGCGGGCGTCGGTTGTCATGGCGACAGGATGCAAGAGAACCAGCCGCGCGTGAATACGTATTGATTACTACTTTGATACTCACTTGCTCTTCTGCTGTTATATCATCTGTTGTCTCTACTATTATGTTTCGCCAAGGTATTTGATCTCGTCCTGTATGTATTGGTATGTATTATATAACTATATGTATATCATGTAATCTAATGTATTTATATATATATATATATATATATATATATATATATATATATATATAAAATCAAATAGAAATTTCGTTCAAAAAAATGAAAATTAAAATGGAGGACTCTGTAAATAATTATCAATTTTTTTAAACTATATTTTTCAGTAATTGAAAAAAAAACTTTTAATTAAAGTTTAAATTTAATACTATGCGTATATAATTTTTCATATTATTCAAGTAAAAAGCCTCTTCAAAAAAAATTTTTTTTGGTCTTCTAAATGCGTAGTAACTCCTTAATCTTTTTCTTTATTTCCTAATTTTAAAAATTTATTCCATATAATAATATAGAAGTTATAAAAAAATTAAATTCTATTCATTACTAAAAACTCTAAAAATAAGTAATGATCCCAAAGTAAATTAAAAATAATCCTCTTCAATCATAAAAAGAAAAATAATTACTACTTAAACTATCAAAATAAAATAAATCATTTACTAAACACTAAGGTAAAAGACTCCATTCTCTAAGCCTTATTAGTGGGACTTTTTCTTTCAATGAAAAAAATCTTCTGCTTGGAATAAAAATAATATACCTACTCATAATAAAAATAAATGATTTCCTTAATTAAAAATAAGTATTAAAATAAAAAAAAAGTGTCAGTAATATTCCTTAAAATAAAAAGAAAAATAAAAATACCTGTGACGCCGATAAATCCTAGAGATAGTATTAACCCTGACTCTGCTGAACACATTCTTCAAGAACTCAAGGACAATCAAACTGTACTCGCACTTCCTCTTATTATCCTCAAAGTGTTTAAACGGATCAGGAATCAATCTGAGAAACTGCTCAACATTAAAATTCTTCGTGTACCGCTGCTGTTCTTCAGTGACCTTGATCTTAGCCAAGTATTGCTCGCGAGTTGGATAATCATGGCTCTTCAATTTTTCATCCACAAAAGTCTTAACATCATTCTCATTTTTAAATTCCTCGGCAGCGCTCCTCAAAAAATGCGGGTCTGCATTCGGAAAAATTCCCGTAAGATACTCATAAGTATCATCAACATTCGGAGTCAATCGATCATTTTCAGCAGCCTCTTGAATCATGAAATTAGTAGGATGAACATCAATCACCCAGGAAGCCTCATTTTGTAAAATTCTCTCGACAATGCTTCCAAACTGGACGTCATGGCTAGTTCCTGGTGCCCAGTCCGCCGGACAGAAGGTCTTAATATACTCTCTGTCAATATCCGGAAACATTGCTCTTAATTTTTGGTAAATTTCTTCACAAACTTTGCTGCTTCCTGCATTCGAAGTGCTCGGATTTAACTGAACCTGATCATATTTACTGCTAACCATTGCCGACCCAGCAGCTTCCTGTGCATCATTTTTTTTTGGAGGCACTAGTACTGGCTGATTAATCACCACGTGATTATTTTTTACAGTATGAGAATGCTGTTGTAATTTAGCTTTTTCCATCGTTAACTTAAGCTTTGTTCTACGCAATTCAGCAAAATAATCATCGACATTTTTTTGCCTGTCGTTTGCATTGGCATTTGCATTTGAGCCAACAGTTGCAGACTTGGAATTAATAATATCGTTAAAGTATACTCGGTGTAAATTTTGATGCTGTAATTGTGGTTGGTGCAATTGTTGTTGGAATTTTTGTTGTTGCAATTGATGCTGGAGGAATTGTTGTTTTAACATATGTACTTGAGCTTTACTAGTAACTGTAGAAGGTTTAGAATCTGGCACGCGGTTTAGGATTCTTTCACCAGAATCGGAAACAGTGAATTTAGTAGTTGCTTGAGCGACTATATTTTTACGCACTGGAATTATTATTCCGTTATTAATTGGTGCCGGGCGTTGTAATGGTAAATTAACGGGGTTATTTAAAGGTGTAGATGGTAAAATATTTACAGCTGGTAGAGAATAATTTGTTTTATCAACATTAGCAACCGGATTTGGATTATTATTATTTGTTAAAGTTTCTACAGGATGATACTTTGGCATCTCTTGGAGATTATCAATATTAATTGGATTACCTGCAAGGAATCCAGCGAGTACTGGTGACCCTGGAGTTGTACTATTGCCCCGAGATTTCTTCATATCAACGCCGGAAACATCTTGACTGTTGCGACGTTTTCTGGTAACCTCAAGGTTAAATTCACTTGGTAATAAATCTTGCAAGGATAATTTATTATTCCCGGTTGTAATATTCTTCTGAATGGCCTCGACGATGCTCTCGTGGGTTACAGAGCCAAGGAGTTTAGTTATAGCTTGTAAAATGTTCTCAGCTATCCCGCTAATCTGTTCACTGGTTAATTTACTAGCGAGAGAATTGGCATGACCATTCTCAATGGAATCAAAATGCCGACTGCAGCCTGGCTGAGGGCTAGAGGGATCGCGCCCCTCCAGATTTTCATCGCTCATATTATTGTTAGGGTCGTTGTTGTTCTCTTCTAGCATACTGTCGTCGGAATTTTCGTACTCGGACATGGAATTATCGCTGTAACTTTTATAAGACTCGTGCTCTAACATGTCCAAGGGGTCGTCGTCTGAGTATACGGAGGATACATTGCTCAGGTTAGAATCATCGGAGTCAGTTTTGTGAGATTGAGACGAACTATTGTCCTCGTTATCTTTGTCCATTTATGATACTGTTGACTATTAAAGATTATTTTTAATAAGTTAGAAATTTTTGGGATTTTTTGCTTACTTACATACCTTTTTAGCTTTATCTAATGTGATTTATTCAGCTTGGCCTTGAGTCTCAGTTTGTTTACAATTTTTATAACCAAAGCCGCTTAACCACTAACCTAACTTATGTGTGTGGTTTTTTTTTTCTTTGAATTGTTACTGACACTAGTGACACCAGTGGAGGTTTTTGTAACTAATTTTTTGAGGCGGGAAAATTAAATAATACTAAAGTTAGAGATGATACTAAATTTAGCCGACGTTTTTAATGTTTTGATATTTTTTTAATAATTAAATTAGAACAAAAGAATATTTTTAAAAAATTACACTTTCAGTTTTTAAAGTTTTTTAAAAGTGAAATTTTTTTTTTATTTTTTTATAATAATTTTTTTAATACAAAAAAATTCTAAAAATTTTTAAATGTCGGCTAACTTAATTTGCATAAGTTAGAGCCATGAAAATAAAAGCAGACAGCTGATTATTTTTAGAACTTTTTTTTTATTATAAAAGCAGACAGCTGATTATTTTTAGAATTTTTTTTATTAATTGAATTATTATAAAAAAATTAAAAAAAAAAAAAAATTCCACATGCAAAAAATTTGAAAAACTATCCGTGCAATTTTTTAAAAATATTTTTTTATTGCTAATTATGAAAATTAATTTAGCAGATATTCAATAATTTTTTTAATAAATAAACTGTGGCAAAAAAAATTCACATATTTCTATAAAATTTCTATTTTAAGAAATTAAAAATGCATTTTTTTTAAAAGTAATTTTTCAAAACAAATTTGTTTGTTAAAAAAAAATTAAAAACTGACCAAAATTGCTAACTTTAATGTCAATTGTTTTTTTAATTATTAAATTAGAACTAAAAAATATTTTTAAAAAATTTCACATATTGTTTTTCAAGTTTTTACAAATGAAAATTTTTTTTTTGTTTTTTTTGTAATCATTTTTTCGGTAAAAAAAAATTCTATTCATGAATTGCTGTCAAAAATATAAAAATAATACTATTTTATTGATGATTATTATTTTTTAATTAAGGTGATATTAAAGTAATACTAAACTTAGCCGACGTTTTTAAATTATTGATTCTTTTTCATTTATTTAATTAGGACTAAAAAATATTTTTTGAAAATTGTACTTATGATTTTTCAAGTTTTTTATGAATGAAAATTAAAAGAAAAATTTTTTATAATTTTTTCAATAAAAAATATTCTAAAAATTTTTACATGTCGGCTAACTTAATTTTCATGATATTAAATTAAAAATTAATAATTTAGAATTGTGAGAATTTTTTTATTATTATTGCAAAGAAAAAATAATTTTTTTTTAAATAATTTTTTTCAATAATTAAATTAGAAAAAAAAAATATTTTTTTAAAATTGCACTTACAGGTTTTAAAGATTTTTTTACAATAACTTTTTCAATAAAAAACAATTCCAAAAATTTTTAGATGTCGGCTAACTTAATTTTACTTCAAAGAATCCAAAAATTTGACAGATGTAAACATTATTATTATTATTATCAATAAGTGATCACAACATAATTTAAAGTTTATCATTACTTATAAACAAATAAATAAATAAAGTTAATTTTAATTTTTAGAAAACTAATTCACCTTAGCCAGTTGCCAGTTCCAATAAGTACTTATTAACCACATGTATGTCATAAATATATTGTAAAAATATAAATTTTGTGTTAATAATAATATATAAATACAACGAGTTGATTGTGCTTGAAGAAGTTTTTAAACACAAGAGAAATGGTAATTTTTCACGATAGTGCTGCCTCTTGGTGAGAATCATACGAAACAGTTGTAAATAAAAACGTCATCTAATACCAACAGTGAAAACACTTAATTTAACTTGATAACAACAAATAATTTTTTATTTATTGAACATAATAAATTAGTAATTAATAACTATTGTTAATTGATGAAAAAATAAATTTTTATTGTTATTTGTCACTTATTACTGAAAAAATTTAATTATTCGCGGTTTTGGTGACTAAAAAACTATTTTATAATTGACAAACGTCATGGCTGTTGCTTTTAGTGAATCTAAAAATCATAGTGATCGTGAAAGGTATTTTAATATTTTTATAAATAGTATTATTTATTAAAAATTTATTTACTATATAAAATTAATTGATTTTTTTTATAGTCAATAATTATGTTCTGAATTATTTTATCAAAGTACTTTTTTGCTTCCATATGTTTTTATAACCTCAATGACTAATGTTGAGATTAGCAGACATCTGACAATTTCTTAAAAATTATGTTAGTCGATATTGAAAAACTTTTAGAATTTTTTTTTATATTACAAAAAAATTTCATTTGTAAAAAACTTGAAAAAGTGTTAGTGCAATTCTTTAAAAATATTTTTTAGTTCTAATTTAATAAATAAAAAAAATTTTTTAAACTAAAAAACGAAAATTTTTGGAATTTAAAAAAAAATCAATTATTAATAAAAAGGATATTTTTTTTTTTTAATTTGTACTTTTACTCATTTTTAATTTCTACATGCGAAATTTTTCTACTAATTTTTTTTTTTTAGTCATGAAAATCAAAAAGATTGTCAGATTTCAATTAATTTCAGTATCAATAGTTTATTTTAACCTAATATTTATTCTACAAATAAAAATAAAATTATTCTACATATTTAAATAAAAAAACTATTTTAAATAAATAATTTCGATAATAATCTAAGCATAATTATTTTTCACAGGTGGGTCTGTATTTATCCACTGTACATAAACAGTAAAAAATCTCGCGCAGAGGGACGTAAGCTGCCAAAGTCAAAATGTGTTGAGAACCCAACTCACCAGGAGATCAGGGACGTCCTTCTGGCAGCTGGATTGAAAGTCGGTGTAGAAAACAAATTACATCCCAAAGAGCGGAGCAAAGAATTGCTGTACCGAGGACGTATACGTGTGCAATTAAAAAATGATGATGGCACGCCAGTTAACCCAGATTACCCTACCCGAGACTCGCTGATGGGTTACGTTGGGACAAGCATCCCCAATCTGAAAACACGCCAGGGTAAACAGAGCTCTAGTGAACCTCAGCAGTCTTCCTCGACGGCTAAAAAAGGCAAAGGCAAAGGCCGTAGATGAATTGTTAATTTTTTTTTCTAATATTTAATTATCAATAAGCAAGGCTATTTTTTATTGTAATAAATGTCAATACTAAATATTATGAATATAATTTACAAAATCAATATCACGGAATTTTAATTCTTGTAGGATATTATTTTCTGATTTAATTTTTAATTTTTCATTATTGGTAAGTACATATTTTTGTTATGAAATTGGAATTAAGAGACACTAACAACCTTGCAGTAACTATGTGACTGCCGTGACTTGTAAAATATAAAAAATTAAAATTTTGCTTTATTTAATAATGACTTTTGTTAAATTGCACTGTATTTTTTTAAATATTGACGTTTTTAACTATATAAGCTCATCCCGATGTTACACTCATCATGAGCTTTTATTTGAGTACCCACATACATTTTCATATATACATATATATAATATATATAAATATATGAAAAATTGATGTTGGTACTCAAATGAAAGGTCTCGATGAGTGTAACATCGGGATGAGCTTATATCTTTAAAAATGTCAGTAATTGACAAGATACAAGGTCATTTCTTAATTATGTTAAATTGCACTGTACTTTCTTAACTCTTGACATTTTTGAAGATATTAAAGATATAAGTTCATCCCGATGTTACACTCATCAAGAGCTTTCATTTGAGTACCCACATACATTTTCATATATTTTTCATATATACATATATATAATATATATAAATATATGAAAAATTGATGTTGGTACTCAAATGAAAGGTCTCGATGAGTGTAACATCGGGATGAGCTTATATCTTTAAAAATGTCAGTAATTGACAAGATACAAGGTCATTTCTTAATTATGTTAAATTGCACTATACTTTCTTAACTTTTGACAATTTTAAAGATATTAAAGATATAATTAATAGAAGGTCATTTCTTTATTATGTATCTCGAGATACAGAATTTTTTCTTGCAGCCTAAATACTTATCAAGACTTTTACAACGATACCAAATTTAACTATAAAAACCCCTTTTATCATATAAATACACTGCTCACAAAATTTTGCTTACTTTCTCAATATTAAAGATTAGTCAATTTTTAAGTTTATAATTTATTATAAAAAAAATTCAAGTGGTAATTTTAACAAACTATAAGTGTATTTCTTTTTTTTATATTTAGTACCAATTTATTTCCAGAAAAAACTTCAAATTTTCAAATGTCTGTTTATTTTAGCATCTTTGTTTTTAAAAATTGTTTCCTTAATTTTGTTCTAAAATAAATTAATTTCAACATTAAAACATGGAATAAAAAAAAAATAAAGCTTATTAAATAATTTAAATAAAAAAATCAATTTTATAAAATATAATCAAAAATTCACATATCATGATTTAATAATATTTATTTAAAAATTTTCAATAATACATTCAATATTTTATAAATATAATATAGGGTGCTAGAACATGGTACAATATATAATATGAAATAGCGCTTAATAAATCAATTAAATTCAATTCTTATTAATATTAAATATAATAATTAATAAATTAATTCAATTTAATCAAAACTCCAACAATTAAAACAAGCGAACAAAAATTTAAGCGCTGAAACTCATTTAAATTTTCCCCGCCAAAATTTTTCAAATGTTAGTTCGCCTTTTACCCGCCAGAGTCGTGAGTTCGAGATCGTTAAATTTAACGGGCACTTATGCTATGGCCAGTTCGCGCTTTTTTAAATAAAAATGAACTCTGATAGTGAATAAATTAATAAATATGTTATATTTTATAAATATAAGTAATATATAATGAAAAAGTAAAGTGATATTACAATTTAAAGCCTCGTTTAATAATTCTGCGGTTATACAACGGTCGTATAACCCTTCTTGACCTATCGGTACTGTCAGAATTTTGCTCACCACCCACCTGACCCGGTACGGTTTCTTCAACTATCATCATAGGCATAGGATTATCATTTTCCTGAGTCGATGACACTACAGTTTCATCATTAGACGATCCAAGTGAAGTTAATGCTGTTGGAGTGGTATTTTCTTGATTCCGGGTATTGTCAGTCGAAGAGGGATTTGCCGCCCCTACCATGTCATTGAACGGTGAATAATTACTGACACTCTGGGAGTTGCTTTGAAGTTGAAGTCTATGTAGCAGAGGCTGCATCATAAGATTCTGGTTTGTCAGATATCTTTGCAGCTCCAATAAATCATTCAACGACATTGATTGCGAGTAAGTACCGTCGACTTGATAATTATTGTTATGATTGTAATTATTGTAATTATTATTACTATTAGCGCTCGCGTACAATGACTGCATATAATTATTGCTATTAAATGGAATCATTGCGTTCAAATATCCGTTTGTCGAAAATGTATTGTAATTGTATCCATTGATTTTATTTCTGTAGGATTGATTTTCCATCATTGAATTGTGGTAATTTCTGCCCATCATTTCTTCCATCTATTGATAATTAAATCAATTAGTAATATAATGATACTAAAATTAGCCAACGTATTTAATTATTTGATTTTTTTTTTAATAATTAAATTGAAACAGAAAAATATTTTTTAAAAATTTCACTTACAGTTTTTGAAGCTTTTTACAAGTGGCATTTTTTAAAAAATTTTTTTTTAATAAATTTTTCAATAAAAAAAAAATTTCAAATGTCGGCTAACTTAATTTTCATGTAATATATCATTCTACTAACTTTCGATCTATCGCTTCGCTAGATATGATTTAAAATTTGTTTATTTTTTAGTTAAATAATTTTTTAACTTTATATATGATATTAAAGTTAGCAGTTACTAACATTTTTTAATTTTTTTTAACAAACTAATTTTTTTTTTTTTTAATTTATTTAAAATTGCATCTTTTATTTTTTTTAATTTCTACATTTCAATTTTTTTATGATACTAAAATTAGCAATGAAAATTAAGTTAGCCGACATTTGAAAATTTTTAGAACTTTTTTTATTAAAAAAATGATTGCAAAATAATAAAAAAAAAAAATTTCATTTGTAAAAAATTTAAAAAACTACACGTGCAATTTTTTAAAAATATTTTGTAGTTATAACTTAATAAATTAAGGAAAAAAATTTTAAATGTCGGCTAATTTTTTTATTATAAATTAGCAGATATCTAACAATTATTCGAAATTTTATAACAAGTTAATTATTATAAAAAGAATATTTTTAAAAATTCACTTACAATTTTTGAAAATTTCTAGACGTGAAATTTTTTCACTAAATTTTTTTCTTTACAATTAATTTATTATAACAATCTTAAAAATTGTTAGATGTCTGTTAAATTTAGTATCATATTTTTTTTGCCATAATTTATTTGTTTTAAAAATTCTAAAAAATTATCAAATATCGGCTAAATTAATTTTCATACTTTATATCGGTATCTATCCGCAATTAATATGTTTTTAATGAATTTTGTAGATTTATAATTGTTTTATTTGATAAAAAATTAAAAAATTCTAGTTTTATATATTGACATTTCTAGAATCGTAATAAAAATTCTATTCAACATAAAAAATATCAAATTAGTCAATCTATGATATTACTTTTACGGTTCATTAATTTAAATATAATTAAAAAAGAAAGAATTTGTAATAAAATATTGTTATTTTCTTAATTAACAAAATATTGAAAAAATATTGAAATATTAACTGAAAAGCTGCATTTATTTTATGTTTATTAGTTTCATAATTTTGTTCGGTCAATTATGTCTTAAAAACATCTCTTCATTTATCAGCATAGATACACAGAAAATACTAACTTCTTGCGCCAAAAAAACTTTAAGGAAGACAAGTTATTTTGGAGCAAGAAATTTTCTTGGTTCAAGAAATTTTCAATCTTCCTTTCCTTACTATTTTCTTGAGTCAATTAAATTTACATTCCAGTCAAAAAATTTTTTTTTCAATGTATAGATTATTTAGAATACACGGAAAAAAAAATTGTAGGTAAAATTACAATTGTCACATTGTACTCAAGGACCAGACTTTTAATATCTTTACTTTATAAATTTTACATTTCAAAATTTACGATGTTGTATCGTAAAAATTTGTATATTAGCTCCTTTTACACGCATTTTTCACGATCTAGCATCGTAAATTTTTAAATGTAAAATTATTGAAGTGAAGATATTAAAAATCTGGTTTTGGATTACAACATGACAATTGTAATTATTCCTATAATTTTTTTCCGAGTATATATTTAGTTTATTTTAAAATTTATAAAAATACTTTTTTAGTTTTGACTTGACATTTACATTAAAGTTATAAAATGATTAATTGTTTAAATTAGATGTCATAAAATAGATAAATTTTCATCAAAAATAATACAAAAATTATTTTATTTTTATTTCAAATTTAAAACTTATTATTTTCTAAATAAAAAAAAAAACGAAGTAAAAATTAACAATTAATTAGTTTATTAGTTTTATAAATTACATATTAAAAAAAACGCCTTTTTATTGATTACCGTAGATAAATTATTGAATTAAATAAAATATTTATATATTTTATAACTAAAATTAGAGTACTTACGTATTTAGCTCTCATCGCATCGTAAGGTGAAGTAGTTTGTTGTAGATTAGTTCCAAAAGAAGAATACTGAGGTGAATAAAGCTGATTATTGCCTTGGTACACACGATTGTGAAAAGAACTATAAGATGGTGGTGTTGAGCCGAGTAATGGCTGTCTGGTATGGTAGTTCGGAATGTAGCTGCGGTGCAAGGGCTTTGGATAATCGTAACGTGGTTCTAGGTACTCAGGAGGCCGAGGAGTTAGTTTGTACTTCTCACAAGGGTCTTCTATGGGCGGCTCCGTTACCGGATTACAGTCATCGTCTATCTGATCGCACTCCAACTCATCAATTATTGTTGTTTCAACCGTCGGCTCTGTTGACGTTGATGTTGTTGTTGTTGGATCGCATTTAGGTTTTACAATCGGGATCCGTTTTGCAGGACCTCCATTCAAAAAGTATTGGGCTATGCGACACATGTCGTCTTCAAAAATTTATATAATCTGTTATTAGTAACTGATAATTTTATAAAATAGATGAACAATACTTTTTGGTAGTTAAAATAATTCTTACAAGAGCCAATACGCCGAGAATTCTGATCTCTGCATCTAGATGGACGGTCGGGTAATCCTCGTTTACAGTTTATCAAATCGAGATTTAATAGACGGGCTTTTCTTTTCATTCGATCGAAACATTCTCCTTCTTGGAATTATTAATTGTTAATTTTCTTTTTTTTAATTTAATTAATATTAATTATTAATATTAATATTGATAAACAATATTAATAATATTAATATTGATAAATAATATTAATATTGATAAATAGTATTAATATTAATATTAATATTTACCTTGGTCATTAGTATTTTCGATGTAGCATTCACATGAATTGTCAACGTAAGATCCAGTTCCACCGCAATAATTACAGAGCTCAGTACATTTTCTTGAATTTATGGTATCTATTTGATTATACTCACCGTAAGCTAAAATAAATTTAACAGAAGAATTATTTTTATTTGAAAAAATATTTTGTTTTTTGAATTAATAATTAATCATTCAATTTTTTATCAACATAGTATGCAGGGAAAAAAAATTTCAGATAGTAGCTAGTATATTCCAGATTACAATGAGTATAATCTAGATATCACGCAGTGTAATCTGGATTTTTCTAGCTACTATCTTTAATAAAATAATTTAAAATTTTGATACGAATTTTTAAATATAGAAAATAAAAATCTTTAAATTGTAAAACGTCGCGGTTACTTCTACAATGATTAGATCAACATACTAACGAAAATTTTAACTTTGAATCGACAAATAGACCAATCATAATTTATCCGAAAGTTGTTAAAAGAGAAACAAAAGTAAAAAATAGTTGATTAAATTGATTAGAGTCTAAAATTTTTGATTAATAAATTACAATTTTTAATAAATTAAACAATAATCGAGGGATCCATTAAAATAATTAAAGTAGTTATGAAATTAGAGGATTTTAGAGATCTTTAAGTACTTTTGTATAGATTAGATTATCATTAAACTACTGCACTTTACAAACTTTAATTACGTAGGAATTTAATATTTTTTCTGGTGATATATTTTGGAAACTCAAAAATTAACTCGAAATTAAAAGAACTTCAAAATTACATGAATAAATTTTATAAATGATAAAAATTTTTAAAGATGATCGCTCAATAAGTATTTATTAAATTAAAAACAATAACCTGTATAAAATAAAAGAAACAACACCACAAATGAAAACTCCATGATTAATTGAAATAAAATAAATCACGTAAATGTATTCTAGACAAAAAGTATCAGTAAGACTGATTTATCAGCGACTGACCTGTTGATTTATAGCTGCGGTTTGAGCTAGCTGATGTTGCAGTTTATAATAATTATAATAATTATATTAAGTTTATAATAATTATATTTAATTTTGCAGTTAATAAAATAAAACAATTGTCTTCTACTTAACGTAATTTAAAATTCACCATAGTGTAGGAAGTATTGGTAAGCATAAATAAATTGAGTAATTAACAGGTCCGATTAATTAATTGTTCAGCAAATTCTGTCTGTCTATTGTCGGTGATTCGGAAAAAAAAAAAAATTGTTGTGAATAAATTACTGTTTATAATTTATTATTAATATAAAATAACGTTTTGTGTAACAATATTATTTGCTGAGCAAAATTTTAGTTTGAATTTGAATATTTAATCAAGTTATAAAATTAAACAGAAATAAAATTGGTAAAGTTTCTATTTAATTGTGCACAACTAGGTCACGTCTTTTATTTTATTGCTATTAAAAATTAAAAATACATTTTTTTTTTATTAAGCTCTTTTATTCATTTTATAATTTCATATTCAGTAAAAATATTCATCGACGAAACTTTCTGAATTTGATGCGTGCCTGGTAAATGCGAGCCGGCAGCGAACGTTGTTGTTATCAATACACTATGTTTTTTTTGTTCCGTTTATTTATTTTGTCATTTAACTCACGTAGAATAACATCGCTCGCTATTACCCTGTAATTACGTGACCCCAATACCCAAATCACGTGAAATAATTCACAATATACACGTTTAATTTTATACCTTTGTAAACACAAACAATTAAATTACTAATTTAAAGTTATTTGTCAATTCCAATTAAAAAGTTTTAATAACTAACTTTACGATTTAATTCCCTATTTTTTACTCGGTGGATTATTGTTCTGTTCACTGGAAAATATCATTTCAATTTGTATTATTACGGAGTATTGAATTTTAGTTTAAAATATTAGTAATTTCATAAAGCTTCAATATAATTGAATCAATAATTCGAAATATCTCTACAGTTCTTATTAAATATTGTCAATTACTAAATTGGATGCATACAATTTTCAATAAATTAAATATTAAATTATATAACTAATCAAGAATTAACAATTTTAGTTATTAATGTGATGAAAAGTTTAAACCTGAGTGTAATAAAGATTTTTTTTTTCATAAACTTAGGTAAATTATTTACATAATAATTTTTTTTTCTTCATTTTATCCTTCGTAATAAATTTATAAATTAAAAATTAAAATGATTTGAATAATATATTAAATTAAAAAAAAATAAAAAAATTAGATAAAATATATCTGTTTAAAAGGGAGATATAATATTTTAATAATTTTTTTTTCTTCAATATATTCTTTATAAGAAAATTTATGAATTAGACTTAAAACATAAAAAAAAAAATCACATTTTAACAATACTTCAATTTTAAAAGTAAAAAATGTTTCCATTTATCTTAAAGATTTTCGTGGTGAATTTTTTACGATCATTTCAGTTTATTTTGTTTGAAAAAATATTTAAAAAATTTTCAAATTTATAAAAAAAAGTTATTACGAGCTACATTAATGCAATTTTTCATAAAAAGCTTTCAAATGATCAGCAGGCATCTAATATGTTTTTAAATTTCTATATTGAATCAATGACTGAAAAAATATTCTCAAAAATTTTAACTTAAAATTTTTTTTTAATTTTCATGTCAAATTTTTTTCATAATGATTTTATATACGTGTAAAAATAAAAAAAATTTTTATACACCAATTAATTTAAGAATCATAACTTTAAAATAAATTTTACCTCCATTTTATCTAATTAAATTTTCTAAAAAAATTTATCAGATCCGTCCAACATTTTTAAAAATTGAAAACAAAAAAAAATTATTTTTGTCAAAGATTTTATTTATTTATTGAATTTAAATGCCAAGGCATAAAGCCATATAGCAAGAAGTAAATACATAGAATTTTGTTTCACATAAGTAATAAAATTAAGATTAAAAGTATTGGCTTAAGTATAAAAAATTTGTATTATTTATAAATAATATAATTGAAATTTGAAGTATATAGCTTAAGTAAATAAAAAAATTTAGTACATTTAGAAAGAGTAGCATGGTTACAATTTTAAATATCTTAACATATACATTTCTACACTTTAGCAGTATTTCTCAGTAATTTAAATAGAAATCTATCTAATCTAATCTTAAAAGAAAGTCGAATAGCTTGGATTTAAATGATATGAGAATTTTCATTATAATAATTAGGAAAAGAGATTTGAAATGGCTCAAAGCGATTAAAAAAGATTCAACTTGACAAATATATAGATATACATTTTGCATGCGTTGAATCGTTTTAAATTTTTTTTTTTAATAAGGACAAAATCGATCAAAAAAGGGTAAATTTAAAAATTAATACACATGCGCGGACAGTTAATTCATCTGAAATAAAAATCGGCAATGGAGTAACAATGACCAATTATTAAACAGCGATAAGAGAATAAAAACGTAAAAAAATAATCTTGAAACTGTCGAGTTCTGCGCTCCTAATACTCAAGTCTCGTAAAAAGTCTCGAGCCTACCTCAACGGGATCAAGCGCGTCCCGTGTGTATAACGTACAAGTTCGGTAACAAATAATCGATAATCAAGAAATGAGACTCTAGAGATTATCGACTATCGATATGTGCGATGTATCCGATATCTGTGACGGATGTTGCAGATGTTGAAGATATAAAGTTAGAGCTTCTTCCAGCGAATTGCAACATCTTATCAAAAGTAAATTATGTACAAACAATTAACTGCGTCAGAGATTTGTAGATTCAGTAATAATCAAATATTATATATTATGTAAATTTATATAACGGAGGTAGCACAAGAAACATAGCTTAAATATAAGTATACTAGCACAAGAAGCGATATGATTCTATGTACTAAATACTGAATCGCTAAGGGAATAGTTAATCAACTGTACTGGCTGTATATGTACTCGATCTAATCATTACAGTGCAAATTATGACAACTTGACTAAACAACTCGACTAAACTCATATAAGTATGCTGTACCTATATAAACATACACGTAATATCTTAGTTTGAACATCACATATATGTTAGGTCCAAACTTATGTTCGTTATAATGTACATGTAGAAGATCAATGGCTAATGGGCTGCTTGTAAGTTGAGTCGCTTTTGGGTATATGTATATATGGCTTACATTTTGTATGACTTCGGTATTATATATCCTATGCTGTAAGTTAAGTTAGTATCACATCAAGTGCACCAAAATCTGAAGAATAAGAGTTTATCTGTAGTGTAATTGTGATTAATGATTAATTATTAATAATTGAAAGTAAAATTAACAGAAATTAAAAAAATTTGTTGGATGCTCTGAGTAAAAATAAATCCCAGTTATAAATTTTTAGTTTTATATTTTAGATATCGCGTTACTAAAACCATAAGGGCATATCTCGAAATATACGTCCTTATGGTTCTACAGAACCATAAGGACGTATAAAAACATTTTTTTTGCTCCAATCAATGTAAAAATATTGAAAACATTAACATCTATGGAAAAAACGAAAAAAAAAATTTTTTTTGTGATACGCCCTTATGGTTTTAAGAAAACATTTTTTTAAAACCATAAGGGTATATCCTGTTTTTAGTCGATTTCATAAAAATCTAACTATTGCAGCCGTCCTCATGGCGCAACTTTTAAAAAATTTAGTCATTTTCTGACTCAGTTTGTCGAGTTGAGTCAGAAAATATATATATACACTAGCGGTTCCCGCCCGCTTCGCTGGGCGAATTGAAAAAGAAAGAAATTAAATTTTATGTTTCATTTTTATTTATTTTTTTCATATTTCCTATATCTCAAATTTCTTTTCTATATCTCATGTGTTTAGTAAATGCAATGCTTTTAATCTGTTACATTTTCGCGATCCTGTAATAAGAACAATTCATCGGTTATGTGATAAAATATATGTAAAATTCTTAGTCCGTTGACTGAATAGCTATAGGTAGCGAAACACGTGGTTAGAAAATTGAAAATCATGAAAAAAATGGAGACTATATAGTGTATAGTCTTGTGATGCACCCAGTGCATCCAGCAGGTGACGCTACCTGTTATTAGAGCGCTATCTATTATGATAGCGCGAATTCAAATGAAATATTCAAATTAGTAAATATTAAATGAT